AAAAGCACTTGATACCGTGAACAGGCGAAAACTAAGTAAAGTTACAAAGATAGCAGGAAAAATTTGGATCTTGAGGCTAGTGAGGGGCATTTTCCAGAGGAACCTCATTCAAACAGACAACAGCATAGGTGCCACAGAACCAATTGAGCAAAGCATCGGAGTACCGCAAGGAGACCCAATGAGTCCGTTAAAGTTCATAGCAATGCTCTACGATGGAGTAAGGGAAATTAGGAAAACTGATATAACATATGTGTTTATATATGCCGACGACATTGCCATTGCAGCTGAGAGCAGAGAGGAATTGCTGAAAGCCATAGATCAACTACTTATCTGGACGAATGAGAATGAATTGCACATCAATACAAACAAGACTGAAGTCACAGTGTTCAGGAAAGCTTCAAGGCTAGCCAAGAGCGAAACTTTCACATGTGACGGGAAACTACTCGAGGTCACACAGACACCACGCTTCTGAGGCGCTCGGGATCCAGGGAGACATGGCGGCTATACCCCCCCAAGGTCTAGAGTTTTAGTTTATCATCCTTTATTTGGCAAAATTAATTTAAATATTAATTGATATTCGAATGACGCAAATATTTAAACAATATTGTATAGTATCCTATCTCATCATCATCTTCCTTTACGGGTTAGGCAGTTCTAGCCTCTTTCCATCTCATTTTTGGCCTTTCAATGTTTCTCTTTCTTCTCAGCTTATAATTCAGGGCTTGCACTGGAAGTCTGTCTTGCATATTTCCAACATGGGTCACCCATTGCTGGCTGTACTTCTTAATTTTGTCATGCACTGTTTCTTTCCGCCCTAGCTTCTCGTTTATTTTCTCACTTTTTATTTGATCTCCTAATGTATAGTCCTTTACTCCTCTCAAAAATCCCAGTTCTGCTGGTTCAGTACTCCTCAAATCTTCTTCTGTTTGAACCCAGGTTCCACACCCATACAGTAGAACTAGAAGGGTCATAATATCATAAAATTTTAACCGAGTTTCTTTTTGTGTGTTCTTTTTAAACGTTCTACTTATAGTTCCACATATTTCTAGAAATATATGGATCTTGCTGGTGATCTTCCTATATCTTCCATATGTAATTTCACACCCTAGGTAGTTAAAAAGCGTCACTTGTTCTAAAACCATATTTTGAAGCACAATCTTTGCCCTAATTCATTATTTTCCTTTAAAAGCCATTACTTTTGTTTTATTAACTGATACTATCAGATTGTATTCCATAAAAATTTGCTCTAGATGGTAAATAGTCTGACGAACCCCCCCTACTGCAGCCATGACTTCCATAGAATCGCCTGTTGGGGTGGTTCGCAGATATCTTGCTCTTGCGAGCTAATAATATCACAGGGCAGTGGGATCTTTTGGGGTGTTGAGAGCTAATCCAAGAACAAGAACACATAAATCAGTTAAACTGGGTTTAATGATTTCAAAAAACACTTCGTCTCTTATAAACCGCACCAAATATAATAAAACAGAAAACACAAAATTGGAGACCCTTTCAATAACTTAAAAATCTATTCACAAAATAGTCACCCTAATATCTACTGGGAATTCCCTTTGTAACTCTGCTTGACTAAATCTGTTACTATTCCTATTTACACTGCACATGAACAAAATATACAATTTATCATTTTCCCTCAAACAATGTTACATGTAAAATGTGTGCAAATGCATCACTCTTTACACAATTTTTGCTGTGGCAATAAATAACAAGAATGAATATGACCTATTTACAATTTCATTGTAGACAATACAGCCTCAAAATGGCTACAAATTTAAATTTAATTATTGTCCCTTCTGTGTCCTTAATTCTCTCGCACTTTCCTTCCAACTTAGTTCTCCGCGTGCCCTGGCTTCTGTGTCGACGCCGCTCGCCTCCCAGTTTCTGCGATGCCAAAGACGGGACTGCCTGATGCCTTCTCGCGTCCTCTTCCGGTCTTGATCTCCCGGTTCCGTCCTCTTCTGCCTCCTACGCCCGGTTCCGTCCTCGCCTCCTACGTCGCCTTCACCCGGCACCTTTTACTTCGCCTGCGTGAATGTTTCTTTCGCAACTCACAGGATAACTCGTTCGAGTTCCGATCGTGCAGGCCTCGCTCGCGGCTGATTGCACTTAACTAGATCTCAGGTCGTACTACTTTCCTAATAACGGGTAAATTCACTCCCCGCGTCGTGGTCCGAAGAATTACTTTCTTCCGGAAAACTATGAAATTGCGCGGACGGCTGACTAGGCGTCTATTCGACGTCCAACACTCCTCCCTAATAAACGTAGTCGTTGCTGCGGCGGACAATATCTAAGGCGAATGATGCTGGCTTGGCGAGCGGGAACGAAAAAGAGCTGTCGCCTGCGGGTTCACGTGTTCATCTACGCGCCCTTCGATGTAGGGGTAGCGCGGTGTCTCCCCCTCTCCGGCTGATTTCACGTCATTTTCCAACGCTGTCTAGTGGGTACCGCGGGCAACACTTTCCTTGGCGGCGGACGCGCCCTTTTTGAACTGTGCCGCGCTCGCTCACTCGTTCCGTGACAGGCTTTCTCACGACGTGTGGGCATATGGGACGAACCTACTTACATGCGTTCGTCACAATATATATTTGCAAATCATCTTCATTTTCCTGCAGAATCATCTGGTCGTCAGCATATAAAAGAGTATTTAAAAATATGTTTTTGCCCATGGTTCCTGAGGTTCCTCACGTTCTTTCGTCTTTTAATTATATATCCCAGATATATGTTAAAGAGTGTTGACGAAAGACTATATCCCTGCCAAACTCCCTTATTTATAATCCTTTTCCCGAAACAAATCCATTGTAGTTGACTGCGATATTATGATACATACTTTTTCCTACTTGCACTAGATGACTTGAGTACCCTTCTTCTTTCATAATGTTCCATAATTTACATCGGTTTCTCTATTAAATTCCACTCGTTTCTCAATTATTTGTTTTAATGTAAATATGTAATTTATTGTTGAACGACCTTTTCTAAGCCCCTGTTGTTCCTGAGGTAGAGTGCAGTCTGCAATTGAAGCTATTTTTTATTCACAATTTTCGCGAATACTTTGTAGCATGAGTTAAGTAGACAAATACCCATATAGTTGTGACATTTACTTCGATCTCCTTTTATAAAACATTGAATAATTAACAAATCTAACCATTCATTTGGTATTGCACATCTCTGCCAGCCATTACCACCATTCATTGGGTGGAGCAGTCAGAATCTCGGTAACATACCTCCATATTTCATTAATTCTACGCTAACACCATCATGACCACAGGTTTTCCAATTTTTGGGGAATTTTAATGCACTTTCAAGCTCCTTCATATCTAACATATGCACGTTTCTTTTTATTCCTTTTTCTTCATCCGGTGAATAAATTTCTTCATTACCTCTCCATAATTTTACAAAGTAGTCCAACCTCTCTTTCCTGGAAGTTATATTCAATCTGTCCATATCGGTTTCTTCTAAATTCATTGTTTTTAACCCTTTATAGGCTTTATCTTCCGAATACATAATGTTCTCTCATATTCAATATCTATCCCAAGATTCTTGATGGACTTGTCTCCCTAATGATTTAACTTTATTCTTTTTTGGTGGTATACCTGTTTAGTCTGCTCATTTCTGCTTTTTAGATAATTAAGGTATGCTACCTTTCTTTCCTGCACTGTCTCTGCAACAATATCATTCCATATTTTCAAAGTTTTCTTTATTCGCCTAATGTTTCGAGTGCCAAATGCTTCATATACTGCCATTCTTATTGATTATTTAATGTTTCTCCATGCTTCAGATCTTCTGTTGTGACAATGTTACTCAAGAACTGCTTCAACCGTCTCGGATATAACTTCCTTATATTAATGTCTTCTACTAGATACACTTTATACTCTACATCTTCTGGTTTGTTTTTTTGGGGCAGTTCGTTTCTTCCTTCTTGCTCTTATATTTATTTTTGTTTCTATTTGGTAGAGATCTGAATAGACATCATATCCTCTTAAAACGAAGATATCCTTCTCATCTCAACTTAACTTTTTATTAACATTACATAATCTATCACTGAGTGTTGCTCCCGGGCACTCCAAGTATATTTATGGATGTTCTTTTCTCTAAAAAAGTGTCTTGGTGATTCTTAGTTCATTGTGTTACAAATTCTCTAAGTTCTTTTTCATTTTCATTCATTACTTATTCTCCATACAATCCTATAACATTGGGAATATGCATGTTTCCCACTCTCGCACTTACATCTCCAGCTATAATTAGCGAGTTATTTGGGTTTCTTCTTTCTTACCTTCCTCGGGGGCAGGTAATATATACAGTATATATACAGGTGAGTCACGTAACTTGTAACTTTAGCACCCCCTTTAACTTTTTAACGGTTGAAGTTATTGCAATGCAGTTTTCACTGAAGTGCATGAGAGAATGGGACTAATTGATACATGTACTCATTTCCATTTTATCACTTGTATTTTACGAGATATTTCAGGCAACTTTGTTTTTCAAATAGAACTATACATATTTTTTCAGTCTAGCATGACGAGCGTAAATGGACAGATTCAATGATATACATATTGTTGTGTGTTAGAAAAGCAGTTTTTTTGAGAAATTTTGATTTTTTGGCGACTATTGTTCAACAAGGTGTCGCAGCGCTCCCACTGCTCGCCCGGGGAAGGGAAGATATCTTAGTTATCTGAACTCTGTTTTCCATCCTTCCACATTTTTATTATTTTTTTTATTACTGAAGGATCGAAAATACGAATTTGTCGTTTATATATATATATATATATATATTTATATATATATAGACACACACATACATACACTGATTTAATTATAGTGCCTTCGGACCAGTTTGAACTGGTTATCCAATCAGAAGCTCCTATATCAACAATTTAGTCATAACATAGCTCTCGATTGGATACCTGCGCCCCAGCTGATCGGACGTCAGAAGCCACTGTAATTAAACTAGTGAAGCCAGCACGCGATACACCAATATACACCAAAGAGTATACACACTTTATAGGTGACCAGCGTTCTGTACGGTTCTGTACACCACATGTGCACGTGTTGTCTGGTGTTGACACGTGCGCAGCTGGTGCACTGTGCCCAGCCTTATTTCTTAATTGTGTCATAGTTGTGCATGTACTGTGTATGTGTGTATGCAATAATGTAAATTGGTGCCTTATTGTGAACTTGAATTTCATATGCTCTTAATTACTGTAAAAGCCATCCACTGTTTTACGATAAACGGATTGTGAAAACAGAGTTGTGATATATTTACTTACTCTCTTGGTTTTTAAAGTAAAATCCGGTGTGTAAAGTGCTTGTGTTGATTTCATTGTGATTCTCAAGCTCTACTAATGGGCAAGAAAAGAAAACTAAATTGGAAGCCAGTGGAGTTACCGAATTCTTTTTTTGGTGCTGCCGATGGACTAATACAAATTGAGGAATTATGTGATTATAGTATAGATAGTAATGAAATAATAGCTTCAGGACTACCATCCAAGAAAAGAAAGGTATGCTGGGTTAAAAAGTGGTTATATATAGGATTAATAAATATGGTGATATAATAAATATTTTTATTTAGGTTGTCAGTGTTGAGAAACTGCACAAAGAAGATAATGCAAGGACTGTAGACAAGTCCTTTAGAAAAGTGAAAGAGGATAACTCTGGACTATGGATAGTAACAGATCAAGTAAAAAGCCAAAACAGCCCTCCAAAGAAAGATCTTCCTTCAAAAACAAAAAAGACAAATGATGCTGTCAAGCTTCCAAAACATCCTAAAAGATTCACCTTAAAGACTAATTCCCAAAACAGTAAAACAAAGAAGAAAATTGTTAACAAAACATTAAATATTGAATCAAGTGGGTCAGAGAGTTCTCATGACCATGACGAGGACAGTGGTAGTATTGTACCTGTTGGAATGGAAGCATGGAGTGCATGGAAGGTTCCTTTGCCAATTTTGAAAGCACTTTCTAAGCTTGGATTCAAAAAACCCACACCAATACAGGTAAAATTAATAGATCATCCCCAAGATTTGTTAAAATACTTCCAAAAGTACTCTCATTATATCTGGATATTCATTTATCACAATTGACTATTAAATAGGAAAGCTATGAATGCTATTAAAGCTTGAATTATAGTTTATCCTCACCTTGGCTCCTGCCCTGCCTCACCTGGCCCCATTCTTCTCCGTCCTATCCTAACATGTTCGTTTTGATCACTTGCTATTACCATCATTGCCATTGGCAGCTGTAAACAGAAGCATTGTTGCTTACTCCTGGCAAACTTCAGTAACTCTCTTGATTTGAAATTTCTCAACACGTTGTACAGAAATGTATTTCAAAGCATTTCCTAGGAAATTTTATGGTTAAAGTAATGTTGAATGTTCTTTGATGGATTTCTACATCTTTTTCATAATATTTGCAAAAATCTGAAAGAGTGTACACTTAAAGTTTAACAGATTGTGATAGGGGATAATTTTTAAGAAGTGTCATGCAGATTGTAACATTTTGCTTGGTTTGAAGGTTACATGAACAAAATTTCATGAAGAATTGAGTAAAACTCTAGATTTGTATGAAAAAGAACCAAATTCATAAGAAAAAAATATAATTTATGTACAAAGTAGCCTAAATATGCACGAGAAAGCACTGTCTTTCAATAAAAATTGCTTCGTAATCCGTTTAGCTGTTCTAGTGATTAGCCTGGATTGACAGACAACCAAAATTCATAATAAGCAATCGAATTGTTTTTTTATTTGACAACGAATATGAGATTATCAAAAGACAGTTATTTGGAAATCAGAAATAATATCAGTTGTTAGGGATTCTTAAGTAATGCAGACGCAGCATTACTCAGGTGGTTTTTAGTAAATAGGAAGGCAGCAAACTTTAGCCTCCACAATTAACATGAATGCAAAACAACTTTGTCTCATTAATTGGTATATTTGCTGATTAGAAATTATTGCTGAAATGATTTCTATTGTTAAAGTGTACTAGATAATATACGAGTAGCCAATGATGTAACATTCTATGTACAGTTTCGTCTTTCTACTTTGGAGAGTCATGTTCATCCCAATATTCTTATACTTTTTTTGGGGGGGGGAGAGCATGACAGTAAATGTGTTTGGATAAAATTTTCAGGAGATGACGTTGCCTGCTGCAATAATGGGCCGGAGAGACATTCTAGGAGCTGCTGAAACAGGCAGTGGAAAAACTTTGGCATTTGGTATACCAATTATTTATGGAATTCTTCAACAGAAGAAAAAAGCTCGTAAGTGAAATTCTATTCCTTTTCATTTTAGACGTATGTATGTGAATTTATTAAATTATGTAACTCTGACCTTCATATTTTGAACTTGTGTGTTCATTGAAGTTGAAAAGCAAAGCGAATCTGGTGAAACAGATGGGGACGAAATAGAAAAGGATGATGTAAATTCAAATATACCAACATCTATTGAATCTGATGCAGAGAATATTGATTCTGTGAATGGAAAATTTGATAAATCTGGAGGAAAATTGTATGCCTTAATTTTAACTCCAACAAGAGAGCTTGCTATACAAGTGCATAATCACTTGATTGCAGTAGCAAAGTACACGGGTATCAAGGTAAGTCCAACAAATAAAAATAACAACTCAATAATATTCAACCTCTATTAAATCCAAAGGATCCCTAAAATCTCAAAAAGTTTTCATTTTTTAAATTTATTTTGGTTAAAAATGTTTTGGTATATTCAGTAATGTTGAAATTAAGGTTCACCAAGAATCTTCCTGCATTGCCACTCCTATAAAATTACATGTATTATTAAAACGTGACACTCTTGCCTTTGCTTGTGAAGAAATGTGTTGTGGTTTCCTCTGAACTAATGAGTTGTAGGTTACAAGCTTTTAAATTAATATAAAGTATGGAAAAATTGATTGGAACTAGCAAGGTCATGCATCTGACTACTGTAAATTTAAATTACCAAATGTTTTTGTTTAAGAAACAATTGAACAGTATTTTTATGAGGCTGTATTTGGGTACAGGCCAAAAGAGTGCCTCCCGTTCACCTGAATCTGTTTTCTCTGCCATAAAGCATATGGCTGAGCAAGGATTTAAAACAAATTGTTATAAAATATTTTTGTACAATACAATAATAATTGGTAAGGTAATGTTGACATTAGAATTCAAGTAAATAAAAAAGACATTTTTCAACATTTGTATAATGAAAATGTTGATATAAATGACAGTTTTCATTAAATGGCCTGTTTCACTCAATCTTGTAAAGGAATTTGGACCATACAAATTAGTCGGAGATGAATTATCCATATATTACCATATCATTACCTCCTCACTAGAAGTGATAATTATTGCAAATGATTTGTGTGGCCTTTCATTATTTTGCTGGAACCTATACACTGAAGTTTGAAAGGAACATCACTTTCTTTGACTACTACTTAGTGCATCACAGCAACACCACCCTTTTTCCGTATATGCTCAGGTACTTTCTTGTGTTGAATGCATTTAGCCATTTCCGTTTTTCCGTAAGTGGTGACCCTGGTATTACACATCCAGAAAGTAGATCAGATCAACTACTGTTCATGGAGCATTTACTTATGCAAAATTTTCAATTTACTTTTGCTTTAAAATAATGGAAATTCTTTAGTTGTAAATTTAAATATTTCAAAAAAGAGATCCTTCATCATCTTTAATAGTTACTTTAGATCTGCATCTGTTCTGTTCACTGTGTTTCTGATCTTGCCAGCTTAGACATAATTTATGTTCTTTCCATCCCTCTAGTCTCTTATGTCATTGTGTTTTACTTATCTTTTCATAGTCATTTCAAGAATATGCATATATTACTTTATTTTGCTTGTAGATTGCAGTTGTCGTAGGAGGCCTAGCTTCTCAAAAGCAAGAACGGTTATTGAAGAAAAGACCAGAAATTGTTGTGGCTACACCAGGTCGCTTATGGGAATTGATTGAGAGTGGAAATCCACATCTGAAAAATGTCGGTGACATTAGGTAATGCTGTAAACAATAATCACTCAAATTGCCATTAGCTATATGTCAAGTATCCATTCCGTGCTGTCCTAATACTGCTGACTTTCTCAAGTGTAGTCAAAGATAAGTTATTTTAACACACGTACAAAATTATTGTAAGTTCTTGGGTATATTAACAACTTCATCGGAGGAACGAGTTTGTTAAATTGGTCTGAAAATGGTTATTTATTTGTAATTTAATTTAAGGCAAAGTCACGAGGGAAATTTGAATAATGAATTTAAAATTGGATTTAAAGAAAAACTTTTTTAAGCAAAATTATTTGTATTAAGACAAAGACTAGGAATGGCCACAACTACTCCTAAAGCAAATTTTCAATAATATTTTAGATGTATGTAAAGAAACTAATTTTTTCATCTCCATGGGTTGGATTGAGTCCCGAGTTGTATAAACTCTTTATATGGAAATTTTTAATAGATTACAATTTTTCATAAGAATGAAAGGAGATTAACTTCTTTACTTCTTAGGGAGAAAGAAAATTATGCAGTGCAAAGTAAATGTTCATTCTGTGATTCCTTATTATCTTTTTAACCAAAATTAAATAATTTGCAACATTATAGAATTATAAAATGTCAATTATGAACTTCAAAACCTTGATTTTGAAATCAACTTAAAGAATTGATGTACCTAATTTGATATTGTCTCTTGCAAGTGGACGTTGGTAAGAATCTATTTTGAAAGTAGTAATTATTTTAATTGACATTTTTAGAAAGTATTTTTAGGATTGTTCAAAAAGTGGAGGCTTGCAGGGTTATTTTTGCGCAGTTTCTTGGCTATTGATGAGACAGACCGTATGTTGGAAAAAGGACACTTTCAAGAATTGCAAATACTTCTGCAAAGTATCAATCGAGACGAATTTAAGAAACAAAAACGGCAGAATTTTGTGTTTTCTGCTACATTAACGATGGTGCATGAGCCACCAAAATATCTTGGCAAACGTAAGGCTCCAACACAAGTGACTCCAGCACAGAAACTGCAAACGATAATTTCTTCCTTGGGTATTACAAATCCCAAAGTTGTGGACATCACTCATGAGAAAGGTATGTTATCCTCTTTTTGTCTGACCAATAATCTAAGCTAATTGGTTGTATTTGAAATTAAAGATACTCAGGAACAGAAATTTTAAGTCAGATCAAATAAATGTTTCTTATAGGAATGCACCAAAAACATTTTCACCTAGTATTATAATAAAACTTCTTGAAATTAATATTCCATAGCTTACACATACGTTTCTCTGTAGTAAGTATATATGATTGTATAAAAGAAAGTAAAAAGTGTATGATCTCATGAGAATTAGCTAACCTTTTCTCTTTATCACACACTTCACATGTAAATAAAACTATATTTTACGTAATCTACTTTTATCAGAAATTATTTTTACATAAAATAAAAAACTGTATTGTGTAAAATTTAATTATGTGAATATTACTCTCACCAAAAAAAAGAACCCATAACTTTCTATTAATAAACATCCAATGCCATATTTTTATTTAGGAACTGCTGGGACTCTAAGTGAAGCTCGGATCATTTGCTCATTAACAGAGAAAGATCAATATCTGTACTATTTTCTTCTCCGCCACACTGGACGAACTTTAGTGTTCTGCAATAGTATCACTTGTGTGCGTCGCCTTGCACAGATCTTGGAAATTCTAAAGTGTAATCCTTACCCAATTCATGCAAACATGCAGCAGCGGCAACGACTGAAAAACCTTGAACGTTTTCGAGATGATCCTTGTGGTTTATTATTAGCTACTGATGTTGCTGCACGTGGGTTGGATATACCGAATGTGCAACATGTGATTCACTACCAAGTACCACGAACTGTTGAGGTATATTACAATATCATATGTTACTTACAAATACTATTAAGGAAAAATAATTTAAAGCAAGTCTACACAATTAACTTTTTTTCCTTTACAATTACTGTATTCATTTTCTATAAATGTTATCATTTAAATTTAGTGTTGCCTCCACATTTTCGGTTCTTTCAATTCTGAAATGATCAACTTCAATTACTAGAAAAAAATACTATATGAAACTTGATGTAAGAGTACAAGTGAAGTTCAGCAGTTACTTGTGTGTTAATATATTTCATACTAATGTTGCAACATTGTTTCACAATATTCTATTGTGTTGTAGAGTTATGTGCACCGAAGTGGGAGAACAGCACGTGCCCAAAAGGAGGGAATTACTGTATTGATAATGGAGCCAGAAGAGGCCCCTGCATATTTACGTTTATGCAACAGTTTGGGAAGAGGTTTGACTAATTGTTTTCAATGACTGATAATTTCATTGACAACAACAAAACGTAATGCACATTTTTTTTTTCTTTCAGGTCGCGACCTACCTGATTTTCCAATTGACAATGATATATTTTCAGCTGCAAAATCTCGAGTTCAATTGGCTTTGCAAATAGACAAACTTGAGTACACAACAAAGCGGACTAATTCTAATCATGGATGGTTCCAGAAAGCAGCAAAAGAAATGGATATTTTATTAGATGATGAAGAACTGTATCCTTTTTTTAAAGATCAAACTAATCTATTTTTATTAAAATAATATTGCATTATTTTAATGCTACTCAATAGTTAGTTAAACATTCTTTAAGTCTCTGATGCAAATATGGGGTCTTTAGGTTCAGTCTCTACTTTACATTGACAATTCTCGAGAAGTAGTTGTTGTGAACACTATTGCATATACATTAGTTACATTCTCTGAATTCTGTACTGCGTACAGAAATTTCGGAAAATGTGCTAACAGACTAATAAAAGCAAGGAAAAGGGTTGAAAATCTTTTCACCCCTTTCACAATGTACCTAGAGTAGAATGAACTACCATAATTACTTTCTTTCAGAATTACATTTCTCTTTCCCTTAACCTGTTGCTAGCCCTAGTAAAATGAATAATGAAGCATCTGCCCGAGTGAAGAAACAAGTCAACGGTTTGAAGAGGCAGTTGGATTCTCTTATAGGTAAACCAGTTATTCCAAGGGCAGTATCTGTGAAGTTCCCAAATCAAGAAAATAGAAAAGATGTTCAGCTTAGTGCTGTTCAAATTGTAAATGGTGAAAACAGAAAGAAAAGAGCATTTGTAAAGATAAAAAAGTGATTATGTAAATATATAAAACCACCACTTAATAAATTGTATAATTATTGTTAAAAATAATTATTTGTTTGCTCCTGTTCTATTTTTCTAAGCAACAGGGGTGTAGAGGATTGATGTGGTAATTTGCTGTGTGGCTGTAGTACTTGTCCCTTCCTAGTGTCATGAATTCATGAAGTAGCTATTCTCCTTGACCCATTTAATTTTCATTACCGTTAAAATCTTGTATCAACTAAAATTCACATAATTTTCTTATGATAATGTAACTTCAAAAAAGAAACCCAAAAGTCTAGATTGAAAGACAGGAAATTTTTTGGTGCTCCTGTAAAGAAAATCACATATTAAATAAATAGCAACAAAATGTTGGTGCACATTTTTTTATCGAGTCTCACAGTTTACACAAAGCGCTTTTTAAGTTAAATGCCCTATATTTATGTACAGCAGTATTAACTTCAATTAACAACCACTCATCAAAAAGGAACATTTGAAAAAAGGCTAAATGAAAACAAAACCATTGAAAAAGGTGCTATCTAAGAGAGTTCACTCATGATATGAATTTGTCAGCATCTCTGATCCGTGAGGTAATATTAAGCCTGAAGAAGAAATCACATGAACATTTCCTTCCTTTTCATCGGGGATGAAAACAGGTTTTGCAGTCCTCTTTTCTGTTCTAAATGCAGTAGTTCTTTAGATATCTTTTTATATACTACTGGGCTTCTACAGTAATATTATCACAATCTCATTAAAAACAATGACAAATGGAGTGTCAAAAATTAATATTTTCTAAGAAATGGTTTACATCATAAAAATAATGTAAAAAAAAAATTAAAAATTAAGTGATTCGATGTTTTCTTTGTGAATGCTGTTTCTTGATAGGAAGAGCACATTTTGTTGGTTTTGTTTTCCAAGCCCACATTGTTTTTCAGATGCATTATAATATTTGTATACACCTAATGCATTTCAACATGTTACATTTGATGAAATTTGCACAAACATGCTATTTACACTAGATCAATTCCAAAAAGAAAACTCAACAATTATTGAGAAAGCTGCTCCACAGAGAATTGTTTTTAACATTTCAGAAATTAAAACAATTGCTTCTGAAAGTTAACTGCTTGTAATAATTAAAATAAAATTATCACAATTAACAGCACTAACTGACTTTAATCCTTAGTTTAATGGAATGCTGTGCTGGAATGTTTCAAAATTTAAAAGCCCCTTGGCTACACAGGAGGGTATTTTGGGCTCTTCTACATTTTTAGTAAGTCACAAAACCTCCCCAACACACTGTTCCCTCCAAACTGGATTCGTGCATAACTGTGCAGTACTTGAAACATCTTTGACAAGAATGCTGCATCCAGCTTCCTTGCTTTAAACTGTGCATACACATATTCTCTGCACAACAAAGTATCAGTTTTATGTGCCATTGCATAAAAATCAGAGGGAATGTAGCATGTGAGAAGCTGCTTTTTGAAAAGTGTGGTACACGTGAAGGCTGTGGCCACTTATTCTAGGCCTAATTCCATCTCCAAGGGGCTAAACAGAATGGAATTCCTCAGTTTTAGGAACAGACAATTCTTAGTAATCTATGAATATATATGTACAAGTAGTGTGTAGTATACAGTCTGCTCAAAAACAATATTGCTGCATCCATAATGGTGGACAAAGGCTAGTGTCAAACACTGAATACATCTAGGCTAGTGGCACTCACACTTGTTTTTTTTAAATATCACAGTAAAATAATGGCATTATACATTTATATTTGCAAGAACACTGTGATTTATGCTAGAAAGAAGTTGCTGCATAAAGAAAAACCTGCTTCATTCCTATAAATGTGACAGTAACAAGAACATTTGAACTGAACGAAATAGCGCACCACTACCTAGATATCCAAGAGTTTACAAAGCAGCAGTGTACTTCCTCTTAAATATAGTCCAGAAATAGAAAAACTATGGTCTTGAAGTCACGAGTAATCTTGTGGGCTCACAGTAATTGTTCTGGAAGCCATTTTTATTTGCAATAATTTATGTGAATCCACAAAATTATGCAATAACAGTTAAATTTTATTGCTTGCTGAATAATAGTTAAAGGAAATTTTTATATGCTCATATAATTATAGAAAAGTAGACACCTATCGTTTAGAAATACTTATATTCTCAACACGATTGGGCTATGAAGCAATACAATTGTTAATTTTGAAAATGTCTAATAACAATTACAGTAAATGTGTCCTTGAAAATAACTGATAGTTTACGACCTTCAAAGATACCATAGTCCTTCATTCCAATAATTCAGTTAACCAGTCTTCATTGATGTAGTTGACCAAAACTAGCATACATTATTTTGTACTTTACCTTTTCCCTTACAAGTGGACTGCCATAAATATGGATTAGCTGTTTGATTCAATGCCTATGAGCATATAAACAGATTATGTTCTTGAATATTAACTACAAATAAATCCAAGTTGTCAGACAAAATAATGACAAATATGAAATGGTTATTGAAACGAATAGTAGTTGTATGTGTCACAAAGAACAAAAAAGGTAAAAGTTTATTTTCAATTCACAAAGAACTGCACTGGATTATTGTGGATTTATTTCAATGTGAAAATATTTCATGTTATCCATAACTGTGTCAGCAAACCTTTTGCTTTATAGTCCCTGAGGAAGTCTGTGCTTCCAATGCTGAAACCATGTAGGAAGTTCACAGGCATTGAATTTGCAACGTGTCCAAAAGGCAAGACAAATTTAGAATTGTATACACTGTAGGGTATATATTAACATTCCATTATGTATCCTTTCCTCTTGATATGTACACTAATAGGTCCTTAATGAAAATTCAATTCATTAAAATGGAAGAATGGAAACAGGTGCTCTCAACAATCTACTCACCATATATCTAAACAAAAAAGAAGTAGTGTCTGGCATTGAAAAGAAGATACTGGCATAACATTCGGATATTCTGCCTTCAGAGTATTTGCATGATTTGCAATTAACACAATTGGCTCAAATCATCTACTATTCTCCCAGGGTGCAATATTGGCTTTTGATCATCAGATACCACCACAGGAAAGCACAAATTTCAACGGCAGTAGACCTTGCCATCTTAGCTGGGGCAATGGGCATATAGCTGGTTGGGTAGTTTAAATTGTGTTTGTTCTTTGATAAAATCACATAATTTTAACAATCAAGATTTATTTATTTATAAACATTTTTAATGAATGGTCCTTGAAGCCAAAAATACATAAGAATATTGTGTGTTGTGCACTTATGTTCCATCGTATTCCTTTCAGTGAGCAGGAAAACAAAATTCAATATTTTTGGTCTTGGCTGGCGTCACAACACTCTCCAAGCTTCATTATCAATGGCACTTGGCTGGCAAGGGGAGGAAGGGTAATGATGCGACAACTGAAAGGCTTGAACATGGGCAGAATGCTGGGCAGTTTTCACAGGGCAAGGACAACATTAGGCAATAAAATCGAGATATTAACTCCTACCATAACTACTGATTAGCTTCTATCCTAGTGGGAAACATCTCGTGGCATCTGGAATTCCACTTTGTCACTCAATCTTAGGCTCCTCCACAAATGTTACCATATGAAACTCAATCTCTAGTATTGGTCTAGCACTCAATGATGTTATTTGAAATATACAGATATGGGAAATTTCACTGATAGAATTTTGTCATTTAAGAACATTTTCAAATTGTTATTATACAAGTGGCCACATGTTTTACCTTCTCATGCAAAGATTGCTAGTAATCTTTGATCTCCCCTTTCCTCACAAATTGACATCCATTAAAAAAAGAAATCATTTTCCATAGTACTTGCATTGTGTCCTTCACCTTAGACATCAGGTATCTTCTCTCTGACATGTAATAAACACTGCATGCCTCTACCGTCCTACACTTTCTGCAGTATCTTCTTTTTGCCAAGTTCTACCAGCAATTCCTTCAAAAAACATAGCACCCTCAGTGCTTGGCACTTAAATTGTCATAGATGATTGTAGCGCCCCAATATTTGTCTAACAACTAGTTTATGGCAAGACTCATAGAAAGAAAAATGAAATTTTGCATGAAAAATTCATGAGCATTTAATGAGTACTATTGAATAGGTAACTTTCAACAAATTTTCAGCACTTGTTATGGAATGTCTTTTAAGTTTTCTGAATGTCTTTAAGTTTTAGCGAAATAAAAAATATATGACGTGAAAGAACGATTTGGTACAAATTCTTCTGTGGCAAAGTCTTGTAGAAGTGCAACTCAGACTGCGTCTGTGTATTGCTTATTACAGAAACCATTGTCTAATGCAGTCAAAAAAGCAATTTTGAAATTTGAACATAGATTGACAGTTTATGCATATTTTGATATGCAAAACTCACTTGGGTTCATAAATATTGGGACATCGTAGGGAAAAGATACAAAATGGATACTTACAGGACATTACCCATTATTTAACTAAAAGTGTAAATCAGTGCTTCCCATCCTGCTTAGTATCACAGCACACCTGATAGTGGGTAACATTTAATACTTTTCAGTGAGTAACAATGAAGTAGAACATGATTAATAATGAAGAAGAGAGAGAGAGAAATGAAAATGTGTGTCCAACTTCAACAAAGGTAGGTAAAGATGTTGTGAATGGTTATGTGCAGTACTTTTCACAATCCTACACATATTTTGCCCTGGTAACTTAAGTTCAGATATTGATGAGTTATGCAAATGTTTCTTCTGAAACTACTTTCTTTGCTATCCTAATTACAATGCACATAATGATTCTCACGTATTCTTTTATGTATGCTACATAACACACAAGCCATCGAACTTGCACCCAAAAGTCTAACTACATTGATTAGGCTCCACGAACACGAGTGCACAGGGCAATCACTGCAGCACTAACATTTTTCAGAATATTCATTTTACAGAAAATTATATGAAAAATATGAATAAAGTTAGGTAGATAACATTATTTCTTGTTTACTCTTGACAACACAAGCAATGAGTATAAATTTAATTTTACACGTAAATTTGATGAGGACTGTTCTTTAAAACATTGTAGTACACAATTCTACTTGTATAACAATAAACGAGTGTGCTGTGGCAATTCAGTTGGGAAGCACTCATGGATATCAATTCCCTGCCAAGAACAATCTACATTCTATCGATTCACCCATCGCTTCATAGCTTCTTCCCATTCAGTTGCACCTCCTTCATCGTCGTCGGTCCGAACATACGATTCATCATCATCTTTGTAACTGTCATCGTCTGTTAGACCACTGGGGCGACGGTGGAGCTGCTAAGATATTAAAGTACACTTTAAATATATTTTTCAGCACTTATTTCTAGCATTATTTGTGTTCTGACAGTTTGATGCTAAAATTGGTTCAGTCTAATTTATCATTTTGTGCTTAAAGTGATACTTGAGGCATTTCATGTTTTTCTCCTTCTAGATAAAATAAAACAACAGAAGAGCAAATATCTTTCCCAAAAGGGAAAACAAGTTGTTAAAAATTATACAATTAGATAAGCATTCTAATCCACAAATTTATTAAAACTACACAAGGCCAGTTTTCCCAAGAAGCAAAACAACTGGATGGCCTGTCATTTCCTAGAGCAAATTTTCTTTACTTTTCCTGGTTTTCCAGTGCATCTTTCACCCCTCATAAGATGTGCAGAGTATTTCATGCTATTTAGAGAAAATAATAAATAAGAGCAAGATTTACTAATTTATCAAAATTCTGATTTCACTGTGAAAAGTGACAATATTTCATTAACAAATAAAAATTGGGCTGAAAATAATGCTGCACTACCTTTTCTAAGAAATAATATATATTTTTTTAATTGTTCTGAATAAATTTTTCTGACTTGGAGATAATACTACAAATTCTCCAAATTTTTCCCGGACAATGAAATTATTGAAGTTTATTTTAGTTTCTCAGAAAATGGCTACCCTGAACAAATACTTTGGTGGGACCCTTGTGATCATATTTGTTTTTGTTTCTTTCTTCTTATTTTTTCTTACGATTTTTACAAAAAACATTTTATTTTAAAAAGCTACACAAATAACTCTTGATCTTTCTTATCAAATTTAATTATATTTTATTCAATATATTTAATTTCTTAACCAACACTTCAACTATGAATGCTTTGTGTATTGTTGTACCAGACAGTAATGGAAAGTTCTCAAATCATATCGTTAAATATGGTGTATCTCTATAAGAAAATATGGGCATTCGTTGGGCTTGATGGCATGATTTAAGCAACTTTCCATTTTATTACTTTTACCATGTTTACATGTTTAATATTTTATTTCAATATCTGCAAAAAATGTAACCAGTTTCCTGTTGTAGTTGTTTTGTTTTTTATTGTTGTTTTTTATTTTCCAATTCTTGATTTGAAAATTCAAAAATGTCTTATTTTGCACAATGATATAAATCGTTTAAATGTTTCAGTATGCTGCTTCATACACTACTTTATACTTTTCCCCTATCCTTCTTTTCAAAACCTTTTATGAGCCCCAACATGTTTGAGGCTACCAAACAAGTAAATCCAGAACCGACTGTGGGACATTTGAGCATCAAACTAAAAGTCAAATACGAATTCCTACAACTTACATGCTGCTGACTGTCGAAGAGAGCCTGCTCTTCGGTTCCGCCCTTGCCCTCTGATGCAGGCTGTGCACAAGTCAGCACAGTACATATTATTTCAAGCTTCCCTTGTACCATTAATCATGCCAGAAGTAGAGTTCAAATTATATTACTATAATTGAAACAGTAATAAGAAAAATAGTATTTTAATAAATGTAAATTAATTAGTAGTACAAAGGAATAGTGCATGTTAGAGCAATTTTAACATCCCAAAAATCAAAAGTTGCCTCCACCTGCATCAATCAGGTGTTTTGGCATCTGTGAAAATGACGATGATCATGATGGTGATAACTGGAACATAAATGCATTATAACTGCTGTTTGTTGGGACATGCCATCAAGACACATGCTATTAGTTCTGAAGTAAAGTCTACTGCTGTTTACAGTAGCAAGCACAATTCGCTGATTTTATCATTCACTTATGAGCTCACAAACGGATTATTATGACCTTGGTTCTTAATTTTATTAATACAGTGTCTGATATCTTGAATTTGCTAGGTTATAATTCAGCAGAATATTAAAATGATGTTTTTTGTTATTGAAAAATCTTAATTTTTATTTATCAGTGATCCAAGAAATTCAATTAGGTTCAAAATATTTAAGGAAAAAATGGATAAAAATTATTAAAACCAATATTATCTTTGTCTAAAAAATTTAAGTGGTATTGCCTTTCAAATGTAACAAATGGTATTTCAATAAGTACAGATAAAAGGAAAAAAGATCATCTTTATTTTCATACAAATATGATATATCAATATACACTATTTTTTTCTTAATTTTCCCACATTTAAGACGAATTTTAGTAAAAAACGTAAAGAAAAAAGAAGAAAATACACACAGAGAGAACTAATTGCTCCTCAAATAATAAAACTGAGAAAAGAGGCATTCCCCAATTCATGCTGTTTTGCTCTCTGTAGCTGAGATTTCATAGAATACAGAATTTCTTATTCTAATACCTGTTAAGTTCATTGCACTGCATTACTAGCTTAATAGTTTAGTGAAAGAAACCATTTTTGGGAGAACTGTATATGCTCACTCCTGAGATTGTGTTTTTTGTGGTTTCTATAAAGTGAACTTGGATGAGACCCAAGTAAGTGAGCCACACTCCCATGCAAATATTTTTTTCTTAAGGCAGGATGCTCAGTCAACTACTCACCTCCCCATTTCTAGATCTATTGTACATACCTGTGGCAGTACTGTGAATGTCCAGAGATCCCACAATCAGCACCATTGTCCATGAGCCACAAGGTTTGTTTAGATTAAGAAAGGAAGAAGTGAGCTCCTCAGAGAATAAAAGAACATGATCCTACCAGGCCACCCCCATGCACACTGGCAGATTACGGATGGGAGCCGCATACCTTTTCCTCAGCCTCCTGCCCGTTGCCTAGGTTGCGGGCACGTAGCTCGGCCATAAACTGCGACTCCTGCTCGTAGCGTTTGCGGATCTCCTCACGCCACAAGGCTGCTGCTGCGCCTGTCCCGTCCGACTCCCCATCCTCTGTCTCAAAGTCTGCCAACCCGAAACCACAAAGTGCTACTAGTGCAAGCTTGGACCCAGCTGCCTGCATAACTTAGCAGTCAGTATCCACTTAAGTTCAGTTTGGGGGTTAAAAATTCTAATAAACACTATACTGTATTCACTTGTTACTATTTTCTATTTCTATGTTAACAATATGTTAAAAAATATTTGCAAAATTTAGTGAAATCTGCAAACATAAAAATAGATCACCAAATAAATGGCCAACATAGTGTTTTATTAGAAATTCCTAAAAATCCAAGCATATTGTGACACTAAAAATACAAACCAGAAGTGCAATGGGAATAGAACATGCAGTGCACAGGGCTCAGTTAAGTTTTCTTTAACGAGATGAATTCCCCCACAAATGGTAATCTAGTTATGATTAATTCAAGAATGATCAACTGACTCACCATTAAGTTCATGATTGGATAAGTAAAATTCAATAAGAATAACTAGAAAATAATAATAATAAAAAAGTTATTTAAAGTTGAAAAAACAACATACTATACACAAAAAAGATCCTTAATATTTCTAATGAGGTGACAAAACACATGAGAAATGGCAAATATTTTAGAAATTTCCCTTCATATCAACAAAAATTTAGTAATTAGAGTTACTCATCATTGTTCAGAGATTCTACCATAACTTACACAATCCAACTATGTGATGTCAGTAGATCATTAGTGCTTAATAATAAATGATGTGCAAAAATGCTCAAGTGAAATAACAATAAATCCATTTGACAGGTACCAATAATATTCAGAGCATAATGTATCTACAGCTTCATATGGTCACGGCTCAGATTCACAATACAGATGAAGGGCCTCACATGTCACTAGCATGCTACTATACATGTACGCAGTCAGTGCTCTTTCTACATTAACAGCTTTCCATTGTACAGGGCTCTAAATTCAACTAAATAAAAGCAGTGCTCATCATGCATACTGTACACATGGGGGTGACGAAATAAATGAATTAAAATACACCTCATTTGGTTTCACAATAAGGAAAGATGATGGCATAATGAGAATGAAACATGAACCTTCATTGCTCGCACTCTGGAATTTCACACTGACTGACAAATCATAGCAGTAGAATGAGAGAAAGTCCGATGACAATTTGAGAAAGTGCTCCCACTCCTGAAACTACCTAGTTTGGGAAGTAACCTGATTCAGCCTCTCAATGGTAAAGTGAATCTTGGCCCAAGCTCAACTCAGGACCATCCAGATTCAGTTCCTCGGGTGCTTGAACGTAAGGCATTGTCCAGGCAAACACACCAACACTGTGCTTAGTCTCACTAACATTTGTTTGGATAAAATTGGTCTCAAAGCTTTGGCTCTGTTTGAACAGCTACCACAGGCTCTGGACAGACCTGAGTCAGCTATAGTTTTCTTGCTCGCCACACTTGGAGGAATCCACTGAAGACTGTGTGTGTTGTGTGTGAGTACACCTACCTAGTGGCTTTCTGATGTTGTCGTCTCCTTCCTCTTGGTCAGAGCCCTCTGAAATAAGATCCAGTCAAGGTTATAGGCTCAAACACTAAGTCTAAGACTAATCAGTGGCAGATCATTACACAGGCCTACCATGCAGAGGCCTGTGCCTGGCCCACATGTAATCTCATTTTTAACTTAAAAATACAGATAACCTAACAAACTAACACAGAGGTAAACATTATGTTACAACTATAGACAAGGCCTTTAGAACCTTATGTTTAAAGTCAGACATTGAACATTTCTTTACTAATTAAGTTGATATTTAAATTATTTTAAAAATATTAATACATTAATTTCTATTCAAACAAGTGACAAAAAAATAATAATTGACAAGGCTATAGTTAACTTTCTCTTCCAAAACTTTATTATTTATTTATTTATTTTTGAGATATCATATTATCAAAAAAATAAAAGGCCCTGAAATTTAAATCATTTTTGTGCTATCGGCAAACTTATTGGTTCAATGAAATTCAGTCAATTATATTTTCACAATTAAAATTATTTATTAATATAAAAAGACAATATGCTTTTTCAAAAAATTTCAGTAAATCCAATAAAAACAAAAGGAAAAAACAAATGTCTAATATTTATACATCCAAATGTTAATACTTCAAATGAGAAATTCAGGTGGGCCTTGCTAATGCATCTCTTGCCACTGATGCTAAGGCACTAAGATATTGTGTCTCATTCTGAACTCCCAACTCAAATCAATGCCTTTAATCTCAATGATCATTAATTATTGTAATTATCACATAATTATTTTCAATAACCTCAATGAAAACATAGTAAAAGAATTTCCTTTGGCTTGATTGAAAGTCAATGAGACACAACATTTAACTAATAAAACATTTAGAGTACTAAAAGACATTCACAGATCAAACATGTCCAAACAGAATATAAGTTGTAAAAGTTCAGGGGAAAATGTATTTACAAAATGCTAATAAAACCTCATTCCATAAATCAGAGAGGTGGTGAGAAGGGACTCAAAATTTACTAGCAGAAAGTCCTTGTGAACTGTAGGCTATTCAAAATGCTTGGACAAAAAGCCAGAACATGCCGGCTGATAAGGTTGAGGCAGCTGGAGCGTGCATACTGCCTGTCTCTTTAAAGGTTCAATTCACTTCAAGTAAGGATAAGACACTGATTATGGGAATTTTATCTTAGATTAATGTACCTGCCCAATTTAATGGCCCCAAACTACTTCCTTCCAAAGAAAAGTTGCTAACTTGTTTTACAGATCATTACTTGCAGAGAGTTGTGTAACTGTGATTCAGATTCTCAATGTACGTGGGAGTGAAAAACCACCTATAGAAAACTACATTCCTAAAATGCAGGTGATATAACATCTCTTTTCCTTTCAAACAGGTCTCTGGGGTGTGACAATACTAATAATAGCAAGAAGTAATAATGGTAATAATATAGTAATAAAACTGGTAATAACAAAACTAATAAAACCTCCTGAAATCCTACTCAATCTCAGTCAGATTTAATGAAAACAAGCAGTCTAAACACATCTCTCTTCTAATACTAAGGACGGAATTAAATGAAGAATGAGATAACGGTGGAACTCCCAAAACTTTTAATGATTATTAAAGGTAACCCAAAACAATGAAAATGAATACAGCACACCCAAAAAAGGACATACATTTTCTTAGGATCAGGAGGATATTTTCAAAAAAATTTACACTCAAACCCCCCTTTTACGTGTTCAGAATTCATATTTTTTTGATCTCTCCACAGACTTTTTCTTGGTCTTTTCAATTCCTTTATGCTCACCCTATAAAATTGTCTCCTCTTTTTCACTTTAAAAATTAAAACGTCTTGAACACTGTTACTCTACTCCATGAAAGCGAAGAAGAAGAAGAAGAAGAAGAAGAAGAAGAAGGAGGAGGAGGAGGAGAAGAAGGAGAAGAAGGAGAAGGAGAAGAAGGAGAAGAAGG